TTCCTGTCCACATATGTTATAGATTCCCAGGATAATTTAACTGGATTTGAAATTTGGAATTAATTTAACACACCTGACATTTCCGGAGACTCTAAATATTTCAAAACAATTTATTCCTCAAAGGATTGATTCAGTCTTTTCTCCATCTGCATCTTTCATAGCTGATTGCTTCTCGTTGTTTGATTGAGCCCAACCTTCCTGTGGCCCCTTGCACATTTTATTTATACTTCATTTTAATTCATTAAGATTGAATTCATTTAAAATCATAGGCAAAAAAAAACTAGAGGGGAGATCTGGAGAAATCATCTTCTTCTGAAAGTTGTCAGGATCTGTACCTGAACTGGTAGTGTAAGATGATTCCATAAACAATCTTCAAAAGGCGTTGGACAGATGCTTGAGGATGAAGAACTTGTCGGGTTCCAATCGAGAAACCATATGTGATTGCTCTACCAAAAACATAGCACGGGCAAAATGGTCACCTCTAATGCTGTGAGTTTCCTGGACTCTATGAATCTGTGAATACAGTTCTCAAGAATTTTTCTTGGTACCATTCCTTTTTTATTATTGTTTCAGAGTCTGTGGGCATCACCAGTTAGGCCAGTATCTATTGTCCAACCCTAAACTGCTCTTCAAAGGTATTTAGGGATAAGCAATACTTTTTCCTGGGAATTTGTACTCGAGAATTTGTATCAAGGTACCTTGGTATCTCAGATGGTACTGTAAGTGACGACTTGTAAACTTTCATGTGAGTACGTGCCAATAAAACTAATTCAGTTCAATAAATTCTGGCCGAGCCGATCACACCCACATCACATGAAAGAATTACATTAAAAAAATGTTTGGCTGTTTCTTTGCACTATGGTGCCGGCAATTGCTGAGGAAGTTTATTGGGCTATTATTCACAAGACATATTAAATTCAAGCCTTCTCTGCTTCTGGTGGATGTCTAAGAATTCATGGTTAAGATGGATATCACTTGGAAGAGGACCAACTATTCTGATGCTAATGTGAAGGGGACCAAGTGAAATATGATATACCAATTATGTTAATTGTCTGGTCTGTCCATTGAGAGATTTCAGTCATATGATTAATGCAATACTGAATAGATATTTCCAACAAAACCTTTTATTCTGTTGATAAAACCTTTAATCACAGGCACATTCTTGTCTGGTCACTAAGGGAAGGGAACCATTGCAACTGTATTGTTGGCAGTGATGTATTGGGTGAGTCTACAACACTTCAGTGTCGTCAGTGATTCTTACGACTGAATAGTCTCCCACAAATGGGTAAAGAATACGATCAGCTTCTGATTAATTTCCATCACAAAAAAATATGCTTCAAATATGCAGCTCAATTGTTTAAATATCAGAACCTTGTTTGTTGTGGATTCAGTCTTGCATTCTGCACAACTGATTAACATTTTTGCCAAAACAATTCAAGAGCAAAATACATGGTACAGCCCAAGTTTTCTGTTGACGGATCCTTACTGCTGAATCAGTTAACACTGCACAGTACTAGATTCAAACTGGGATCTTCTCCAACTATCCCCTCGATAATTTGACTGTGAGATTAGAGAAGGGAGAGAGTGCGGAACAAACTTGATAGACTAGCTTATTGTTTCCCACTATTATTTTAAGGACTGAATTGTGTCATATTTTAGATAATTGTCAATTTCATCAAATTTCATGGGTGGTATCTCTCTGTGACACCTGGCAAGATTTCTTGCCATATCATCCCAAAACCAGCTCATTAACCACCAACACACTCCTAAAGCATCCCTCTCGTCTGATGCTAGCCAGATTCTGCTACCCACCATATCCAGAAGAACTCACCACTGCTGCCATATTCAGAATTCGGCCAAAATCCTTGCTAACTGTGAATTCTTTAAAAGGTCATTGCGCACCCAGACAAACATTGTCAGTTTGAAGCTGCTATGCATGGTGAATGCTATTTCCCCTAGACTTGTCAGAGCAGGGGAAATTGGCACCTCGCTTTGTGGACAGGGATCTGGTGGATGGGGTGATGTGGAGAAGGACCAACCTTTTGCCCCAGTACCATAAGTGGAGGCCACGGCACCAAATCCTGCCAGCCTTGGCCAAGGGTGCTACTGGCTCAGTACGGTCTCTGCCATCCAGGGCAGTGGTTCCTGACCTTTTTAGTAACGTGGCACAGTTCAATGTCACAAACAATTCCACGGCACATGCACTTTTTCTTCCACATCATCTCAATTTTGCCCTTTGGCCACATGCATTCAGAATGTTCACATTTTAGAATCAAACAACCAATCCCGCACTTTTGATTTGATTATTTTTCATGAGTTTCATGAGCTGTAATTTTGGTTGGACAGAATATTGTTTAAGCTGAAACGATGTTTTACATTGATTTTAATTACCTTTGTATGAAATTTCACAGCACACTTGTTGAAAACAACTTGCCTAGAGGAATCAGAGGAGTAGGAAAATTGACATTTTTGGATCGGGACCCTTCTTCAGAAAATGAAGAAGGGTCCCAACCCGAAACGTCAACTTTTCTACTCCTCTGATGCTGCCTGGCCTGCTGTGTTCCTCCAGCTTCACACTGTGTTATCGTTGACTGCAGCATCGGCAATTCCTACTATCTCTTGCCTAGAGGAATGCCCAGCACTGTTGAATTACCTTCTCCACTGCTCCAGGGTAACAGCCACCACCTTCTCTCTGCTACCACACTCTCTCTATCTCTGCAACCAAGGTTCATGTTCTGCCACTCTCACTTTTGGAAGCAACATCTTCCCTCACTCGCTCTCACCCACCTTAATTCCTATTGCCATCAAACCAGTATTCTGTCTGCACCGTACACTCATTGGCACCGGACAACTCACTACTATCCCTCACCTGTACCAGCACTAACAGCTGTGCCACCTACTTTCATCTCACTCAATCACTCCATTTCTCTTGCTCTAACAGAAAACAGCCCACAGTCGAATAGAAAGAGCCCCTCTGAGGAGAGGATCCTGATGCTGACAGCCTCAAGTGGCCAACTTAACGTGCCCAAACTTCTGTATTGATATTGGAGGCAGCCCTGGACTTACTGTACTGGGACCCTCTGACTGAAAGCTGTCCTCCTTGATTTGATTAAAGCCTGTTGACAATCATGACAAGAATCCTGGATTTGTGTTTGCATTAAACAACAAAGCAAGACAGAAGTAATGTGAATGTGACAGGTCCAGCTGAAGGGCAAAGTGCTAATAAGCAAGGCAAGTCAGGGATACAGTGAACATCCAGATGAGCTCAAAGTGAGTTTTTTTTAATTCACTTGTGGGATGTGGGCATCGTAGGTTGGCCAGCATTTATTGCCCATCCCTAGTTGCACTGGAGAAGGTAGTGGTGAGCTTCTTGAACCACTGCAATCCACCTACTGTGGGTTGACCCACAATGCCCTTAGGAAGGGAATTCCAGGATTTTGACCCAGCAACACTGAAGGCTTTGTGATATATTTCCAAGTCTGGATGGTGAGAGGCTTGGAAGGGAACTTACAGGTCTTGGTGTTTCCAAGCATCTGCTGCCCTTGTCCTTCTAGACAGAGTAGTTGTGGGTTTGGAAGGTGCTGTTTGAAGATCTTTGGCAAATTTCTGCAGTGCATCTCGTAGATAATACACACTGCTGCTAATGAGTGTTGGTGGTGGAAGGAGTGGATGCTTGTAGATGTAGTGCCAATCAAGCAGGCAACTTTATCCTGAATAGTGTCAAGCTTCTTGGAGCTGCACCCATCTAGGCAAGTGGAGAGTATTCCATCACACTCCTGACTTGTGCCTTATAGAGAGGCTTTAGGGAGTCAGGAACTAAGTTACTCGCCGTAGTATTCCTAGCCTCTGACTCAGTCTTCTAGCTACTGTTTATTTGGCAAGTCTGTTTGAGTTTCTGGTCAATGGTAACCCCATGGATGTTAATAATGGGGTATTCAGTGATGATAACATAATTGAATCTCAAGGGGTGGTAATTAGATTGTATCATATTGGGATATGGGCATTGCCTGGCATTTGTGTAGCACAAATGTTACTTGCCACTTCTCAGCCCAAGCCTGGATATTGTCAAGTGAGCTCCAAAAGGGCAGGAGAACATCCCTGAGATGCAGTCTGATAAATTCAAGACCTGCGTGCATGGGGGCAGGCACAAAGTGTCTATGCAGCAGCTTTTCAATGCTAGTTGCTGGTACAGCTTTAAAGAGCAGACACATCCTATAAGCCAATTGGAAAAGTGCCATAAGGTTCCTAAGAGGTGTTGGATGCCAGTGGATGTGGGATGCTTGGAGTTGGAGTATGCCCTGAGACAGTGTAGTCAGGTGTCCATTTGGCAACCCAAAGGAGGAAATGTAAACTGAAAGGTGCCAGGGACCTGCTCTGACTTTCATGTCGGGAATTGTCCCCAGGTCCTGTTTGCTTGTGGATGGCGGTAGGGTAGAAAGCTACACTTTTAGAGGCAAGATTTGCAGTTGACTAGGCTGACAACAAGCAATAATTCCCAATAATTGGCATCTCACCACTACCAAACAAGAATTTTGTCCCCGATGCCTGGAACTCTGTTTGACAATGAAGTGAATTGCTCCTGATGGCAAGAAATGCCTTGCCTGACTTCTTATGCGATTTTCCCCAATTTCCTCACTACGGCCCACACCATTCAAGCCTCTAGACGACTTGCCCAATATGTACAACTGTCTCTGCTGTTCACCCCAACCCTGCCTCCTCCCCTATCAATTTTGGAACCTGGAGCCTGTGGGTGTATCTTGTTCATGGTCCTAGAATCCACATGAGTACAATCGTTTAACTAGCATAAGAATCTCTTAAACAGTTCTAGCTGTGAAAAGACTGGAAAGTTTCGTAATGCATCAATTACTTCCATTTTAGTCTGTGATTTGTTTTTAAATCAAGAACTTTAACCTTTAGAGATGTTTTCATTGCAATAAATCTAATAACTAGTGGAGGATGCATCAAATCCCAGAAGCTGTGTAAAGATGGCAGAAGTCAAATTTGTCCCAAAACCTTGGATATTTTAATTCTGAAGGTCATACCACCTAATAGCGGCACCTGACTGGCACTAGTCTTGACTTAAAACAATTCTTGTAAGTTTTCATAAATGCAGACAGTTTAACACACAGTGAATCTGTAAACATATTTAATGAGAGACTGATGTCTAATTAAGGCAGAGCTGAACTGTCCACTGGTCTTTTGACCTTCTGTCAGCTCCCAAGGCAGGCAGCGCATTTTAGAAGCTGTTAATATTTACAAAGCATTTTGTTGAGCCATCATTAGATTATGGAAAGCATGAAGTGAAACAGAAGTCTTGACAGTATGGTGCGAGGAAATCAGGAGTAACTTGGCTCCATCATGTTCAATGTCATGACCTGATATATGTGCAATGTTACCAGTTGTATTCGCATGTGAAGCATTTGCTGACCATAATGTTCTACTTATTTTATTCTAACCCAGAATAGTTTGTTGTTCCAAGTCAGCTACAAGCAGGTGATGACCTCTGTTCAGGTTCAGTGAATACAAAACTAGATTTTTCATTTTGTACTTAACTCCCCCACTAAGAAGAGTCGTTATAGCAATACTGATCTCTCTACAGGAAGCACTGTACATGGAAAACTGAAAGAATTTTAAAACAACCTCTTGAAATGTGGACATTATTGATAAAGTGGATATTTATTGTGAAGCTGTAGTTGGTCTTGGAGAGGATGGTAGTGAATCATCTTCCTGAACCACTGCAGTCCATGCAGTGACTTTTTAAAAAGTTCATTCACATGTTGTTATTAGGTAGGGAGTTCCAAGATTTTGACCCAGCAACAATGGCTATCACTCATACATATGAGTCAGGATAGCACGCGACTTGGAAGGATACCTAGATGCAGTGTTCTTCTGACTTGACCATCAACCTCATCCTTCTAGGTGGTAGAGGTCACAGAGTTGGCAGGTACAATCAGAGAAGTAAGGTTTCCACGGTCACAAAGTAAAGTAATATTTGCTCATTGAGGAAGGAGATGAATGAACTGAATATGAGAACATATCCCACGTGACGTTGGATGCACACTTGATGTTTTCATTTTGTTCAGTAACGTCATGAGGGTATCAGCAGCTATTTGCTTATATCAACAAGGGTCCACAATTCTGATCTATATTTCCGATGGTCCCAGAGGTTCTAGTTTCCGTGACAAGGCACTCAGGATTTTATCAAATTTTTCATATCTCTCAGTCCGACTAATATCAGTTACATTGTTGCCCCAGAACAATCGTAAAGCAAATTCAGTCTTGAAAGCCTCTAACAATTCATCATTAGCGTGAAAATCTGCAAGGAAAAGTTAACACTTCATTTAAACATACAATGGAATTAATGTTATGTCTGTTAGGGAAACTGCAGTACTCAATTCAGTCACTGGACTAAGTTACTTCTCTGTAATCTGTTCCAGCCCTACAACCGCAGTCTCTGCCATTGCCCAATTCTTGCCTCTGGCGTATTGTGAATTTTCCTCACTCCTCCATTGATGACCATGCCTTCAGTTGTCCAAGCACTTGAATTCACTCCCTAAACTCCTCTGCCTATCCATGTCTCTCTCCTCTTTTAAAACCGATCAATTTCATTAAGCTTTCGGCGTCTGGTCTGATTATATTCTTATGGAGCTTGATGTCTAGTTTTGCTTAATGGTCATGTACAGTACTTGATGTTTTGCTACATTGAAGACACTATATAAATGCAAATAGGAGCCACTGTTTATATAGTTTCTTTATGCTAGTGATAAACATTTCAGACAGGAATCTGTAGCTTTGACTAAAAGTAGAGTCAATGGAAGAGGTTCTGAAACTGTAGGGGCAAAAGGGTAGAGATGATAAAGCAAAGAGGTTTGGAAGACTGTGTCAGAAAGTTAAATAGAAGGCATGTGGGGGTTCTGCTATTCATGCTAGAACAGGAGAGGAGAGGAGGAAAGAGCCAACATTCCTTGCTCTTGTTCACCTCTCGGTGGCCTCTATCGGAAGTACACGTGAAACGTTCAGGACTTTTATTTCGGACTTCCAACAACTGCAGCATTTTGCTTTTATTATGTTAAGTGTAATGCATCATGTAGTCAAATAACTTACTGATATTCAACTGATCAGGCCTTGCTGGAATAATAGAAAAAGTAAAGGAAGGTGATATTAAAAAAAAAGAAAAAATAAAATCAGAAAAATTGTTTTTTTTTAGAAAAATAAAGGATCAGAGAAACTTGAATCAGCCTAAAGCTGGTCACTATTAGTGAATTCTTATTTGATAGTTCTGGCCCCGTGTGTAATTATCAAGTGTAGGTCTGTATTACAAAACAGATCTGGTTATGTTACTTCAGTTAACCAGAGCAAGAATATGCAAGTTCTTGAAGGGAGGCCCAAAGTGTTGGAATGTAGTTGCAGCTCCTGCTGCAAAGCCCAAAAAAAAAATTCCCTTTGATCCTACTCTCTCAGGAATGCAACCTACTTGACCCAGTGTGACACTTCCACTTCCTTTACTGTATCATTAAAGCACTGAATGATGATGGGAGATTGGCTTGACAGGGATTGTAGGAGAAGATAGACAGAGAACGCATTGTAATATCTGGCTGCTAGCAACAATACGCAACTCTTACTCCATGGAAGAATACATCCTAGTGGATATTGTTACAGTAAAAGGGGCTAGAGTTAGACAAGCCATGCCTTTTAAAGTATGTTTTCTTCCAAACTGAAACTTATATAAACAAAGAAACTAAACTTCAACCACTCTAGCCTTTCAGACCTCTATTCTCTATGCTCCTCCAATTCTAGTTCTTTGCATTTTTTTTTAAAATCACCATCTTTGGAAGCTGTGCCTTCCACTCCCAAGGCCCTAACCTCTGAAACTCCTCCCTAATTCTCTCTGCCTTTCTCTCCTTTAACATGTGCCTTAAACATCTACTTGTTTGGCTAAGCCCACTATCTCTTTTCAGGGTTCCTTATCATTTGATAAATCCCGTGAATCACCTTGGAATGTTCTGCACATCAGTACAGTTTAGGCTCTATTTAAATGCAAGGTAGTGTTGTGTGAAGCAGATTTCAAGTCTGTCCAGGTCTAGCATAAAGACTCACAGGATCTATAATCCACCCACTGAAGCCCAACCAGTAGTCTTAATTCAGCTCACCCAATTTATACTCGTATGGTATTTTGCTTGTACTGTGAACAGTGACCTCCAACTTACCCATTTTCCAGATTATCTGAAGCCAGGCTGGTCTTTGTGGCAGATCTGCTAACGCTACATTTGTGGAATATTGCAGGACTGGGTAGGGTCTGTGCAGGGGTAGCACAACCTGACCCTGCATTTTGAGCACTTCCCAACGCAGTTCATCATGATTATTCAAGAATGAGTCAAAAGGTATGTGCCCCTGTATTTATATTTTTAAAAAATTGCTATGTTGAGATGTCCCAAAGCACTTTACAACCAAAGTATTTTTGAAGTTGTAATGCAGAAAAACACATCAACGATTTACAGACAGGAAGGGAATGTGGTGACATAGTGGTAATGTCATTATTTGGATTCCCATAACAAATCCCACCATGGCAGGTGCTGAAATCTAAACTCAATTTATAAATATGGAATTAAAAGCCAGTCGAATGACGATTGTATAATCATTGTCAGCTATAGTAAAAACCAAATCTGGGTCAATGCCATTTAGGGAAGGAAATCTGCCACCCTTACTTGGTGTGACCTACATGTGACTCCAAACCCACAGAAATGGAGATGACTCTCAAGCGCCCTCTAAAATGGCCTCACAAGCCACTCAGTTCAAGAGCAATAAAGGGATTGGCAATAAATGCTGATCTAGCCAGTGATACCTACATCCGTGAACAACTTTTAAAAACACACTTAATCTGTTTTAATGATGGTGGTTAACTCTTGTATAAAACGTTACCACAGGATCTCGAGTCTCCTGTGAGGCAAGATAAGGCCTCTTAAAATCTCATCCAAAAGACAGCATCTCCAACAGTGCAGCACTAACTCAACATTGCACTGAAAAATCATTTGATTCACAGGTCTCTGGAGTGTTTGGCTTTAATCTACAATCTTCTAACCAAGAGCTGTCCACTGAGACATGCTGACAGATTAAGTCCGACTGTTGTTATTTAACTCGTGACCAATAAGAAACATTGCATTTGATGACTGTTAGATTAAATACTATATTGAGAGAGGCCTACCTTTCAGTTTGGCCTCTGCATTGGCCCGATATGTTGCAGCATTCAATGTCACATTACGAGCTGCCTCCAATGTCTTAAGCAGCATGGTGCAACCCTGCTCTATGTTATCCCACGTTTCCATAACATCAGACACTGACTGGCGCTCCATCAGCATAATGATGGGCAGAATGTGTGGAACAGTGGTATTTTGCAGAGGAAGCTCAACTGTGTTGAGAAAGAAAGAGACAGTAGGTGGTAGATAGAAATTCACACGGGTACAATGCATTGAAAATAATCTAACATATATACGGTGCCTCTCACAACCTGAAAGTACGCCAAAGCATTTTACAACTGATGAAGTACTTCTGAATTGTAGCCCCTCTTGTAACGTAGGAAACATGATAACCAATTTATGCCTAGCAAACTCCTCCAACAAACAATATTGGAATGATAATCTGTAATAAATATATTAGCTGAATGATAGGCTGGCAATGAAGGAAGCTTTTGTTTGAATATGGCAGTTCTAATGTTCTTACTGGATTCAAAACATTAACTCTGTTTATTTCCCTATGATGATGACAGACCTGCCAAGTTTCTCCAGCATTATCTATTTTTAAGATCGCTAAGTACATGAAGGTGAAAGGCATAAAGTTGAAGTATGGTGGGAAAAAGCCTGTGTGGAGCATAACAGCATCTACACTAAATAAAACCTGAAAGAACTGCGGATGCTGTAAATCAGGAACAAAAGCAAAGTTGCTTGAAAAGCTCAGCAAGTCAGGCTGAGGAGGAGGGGTCACCGGACCAGAAACGTTAACTCTGTTTTTTCCTTCACACTAGCTGGGCCTGAGTAAATTCTACACAAAATCAGCAGACTCTGAAAGTATTTAAAATGATCAAATGATGAGTTTACTCTATGCAGGTAGACATAATTTACATCAATGATCATAGTGATATGTTCTAACCAGCTGATAATGAGACTTTGTCATCTATTTCTGCTTTCTCTCCACAAATGCTGCCAGACCTGCTGAGTTTTTCCAGCAATTTCTGCTTTTGTTTATAATCTTGTTTGGTTTTGTGGGTGGATTTTCAGTTCCGAAAATGTGAATGTGTTCCTGGGTTACTGGCCTGATTAAAGCTCTGCATCATTTGAGTGACTCTGCTCAGGCACAGAATACCTGCCTTTTCCCTCATTCAAGGATTTAGCAAAGGGTTTGAGCTCTTTTTCAAACTTGATAGCAGAAGCAGTGTGATTCCGGCGCAGAGTCCTCCACGTGTGCTCAAGACGCACGATCTGATAGAAGGAAGGAAGGTACATTAGTTGTGCTATTTTCCTTACTCCCCTAATTCCCCTTACTCACGCATGGGCTGGTACTATATTTTCATCAAATCTACATCAACCATCTGAAGACCATCCTACCTAGACCAATCCCATCCCTATAACTCTGCATTTCCCATGGCTAATCCATTTAGCCCGCACACCTTTGGACTATGGGAGGGAACTAGGGCACCCAGAGGAGACCCACACAGACATGAGAAAAACGTGCAAACTCCACACAGACTGTCACCCAAAGATGGAATCAATCCAGGTCCCTGGTGATGAGAGGCAGCGATGCTAACCACTGAGCTACCATGCCGCCCTATTTTTAATAGTAAGTGTGAGGATAAGCATCGTCACGAGTGAGACAATAGCCTAGTGGTATTTTTGCTGCATTGTTAATTCAGAGATTCAGATAATGTTCTGAGGGTCAGGGCTTGAATGCCACCATGACAGATGGTGGAATTTCAATTCAATAAAAATCTGGAATTAAGAGTCTGATGATGACGATTGTAGGGAAGAACCCAAGTGGTTCACTAATGAAACTGCCAGCCTTACCTGGTCTGGCCTACATGTGACTCCAGACCCACAGCAATGTGGTTGACTCTTAACTGCCCTCAGATAGGCAATATGCCTTCATCCCATTAATAAATGAAAAAAAAACAACCAGACGCCAACAATGGGAAAGCTGGCTGGATCAACTGCTTATTAGGCACTCAGCAGGTTTCTCAATCAATCTTCAGAATCCCAGGTGCTGAAGCCCTGGAGTAGCGAGAAATGTGACTTTTGGTCATGGTGGGGAGAGCAAAGGTGGCCATTGCCCCTCCAGCTGTGCTTCCAGTCACCCACAAATTGGGGCAGACAGAGGCCAAACCTTCAAGCAGGCTGCCCTATTTTACCAGTTGGGAAGGAACAGTTCACTGACACAGGGCGAGGCCCTGAAGCGGTTATTAATTGGCCACTTAAGGGTCTTTCTTTGTTGGGAGACTGGAAGATTGACTATGAGTCTTCACATCCAAAGTTTAGCTCCTGAGGCAGCAGGAAGGGGACAGCCTCCGTGCTGTCAATCTGCTGTTTAATTGCTCTTCTGCCACTGCCATGGAGGGACAATCCCAGTCATTTTGTGAGCTTAATAGTGCATGAGTTTATTTCCCCATTGCTATTGTGGTCAGAAGGAATGTCATAGGAGGGCTGTACATGGTGACCCAGCACAAGTCCTAACCAGAATGGAGATGATTGGCCAAAAGTCCTGTTGATCACCTCTCCAGTCTGCTCTGCTGGAAGGACTGGTTATACATGCAAAGCTATCCTCCACTTCCTGTATTTTGCTGGAGAGATCACCAAGAGGAGTTGCTGAGTTTTGTTTGCAGCAATGTACAAGAGTTTCTTTTTCTTTTTAAGTAGACTGTAAACAGATGTCTTTTGCTGTAAATTAGACTGTTTGCTGTGAGTCCTGCTGTAAATCCTGCCCTTTAAATGTGATGTTGTCTGTTGACCACACTACTGTTTTCTCTCAAAGAAGTTAGCTCTGGAAAGGCTAAAGGTGGGGGAAAAAAAACAGCTCCCCCAATGCCTTAGTGAGAGTGGAAAAATGGAATACAAGAGCAGAAAGTTACATAAAATTCTGGTCAGATCTATGTGGAGTACATTTAATAGGGAGCATGTCTCTCAGCCTTGTACCGACTGTAGTCCAGAAGCACCATAATGGTATTGGTAAAACCAAGAGGATAGGTTGCATTAACTTGCATTGTATTCTCTTAAGTACAGAGGATTGTGGGCAATTTGATTAGATATCAAGTAGAAATTGTGTATACTGAAGAAAAATGTTCAAGGCTACATAGAAAGAGCCAGAGTGTGGGGCTGATTGGATAGCAATTACAAAAGGGCTGGCACAAACAGTAAACCATGTTGAACGATTCAACTATTATTCACTTTGAACTCGACATTTGTCTCAACAGAAAGCCTACAAATAGCTCACAAATATGTATTGAAGAGCAAGGAGCAGACTCAAAGAATGTGAAAGAATGGCAAGTAACTAAACAGCAGGAGTGATAGAGAATACCTGGGGCAGCTCCAATGCTTTCATAATGGCTGAAAGTCCGAAGAGATCTCCCATGGAGTCTTTTAGCTCAACAGCTAGTTGGATAATTTTATGAAGGACTGCAGACCTTTGTCCAACACTTCCCGTGCAGCCTAAGATGTCCACAGCAATGCCCAGGGCTATTAAATGATGTCTGAAAAATGGAAAACAGAGGTAACAAAGAAGTCTTAAGCTACTTTTGTGGTCAAGCATATTCGGACAGATGATGAATATGCAAACTGAATTCTGTTTCTGTCTTTATAAGCTCTACCTGACTAGCCAAGAATCTCGAGCATGTTGTGTTCCAATTGGTGTTAAAATATGGTTGCAGTCACACCCCCCAGCTGTGTTAGGATCCACAATCACAATGAATATTGGTGCCTCCCTCTAAGGATACGGATTTTAATTCAGCACTGTTGTAATTGTCAATGCATCTATAAAGTGCAAACTGTATGGGATCTGATCAAGAATATCCACTGGGCAATGCTCACATTTGTAGATTTGTCAGAATTAATACAGGTGAGTAAATTTTGGATTTGGCCTTCTTGTCATATCCCACCTCTTTCCTTAACAACTTTTCTACCTTGACAAATCTTTTGGTAATCGGTCCTAATATCTCCATATGTGGGTTTGAATTAAATATTGTTTGATTACAATCCTATAAAAGCACTTTGTTATGATGTTTCTAGCTGCTGGGTGGTCTGGAGACATCTACTTTCCACTACTGCATCTTGCAATTGATATCACTTCTGATGACACCATGCACATCTTTCTTTTTGCATTTCATTTTTGTCAAACCGACAATATGTGAAATCCTCAAAAAAAATAAATAATGAACAGGGGATGGTGTTCTGAATAGATACTAACAGATTTACTAATATCTCAGTATCAAAAAAGGTACATCACTAATTTGTTACAAAAAAAAAAATAAGTTGATGGAAAAGCTCAGGTCTGGCAGCACCTGTGAAGAAAAATCAGTTAACATTTCAGGGCCAGTGACCTTTCCTCAGAAAGAACGGTAGCTAGGAAAATATCGGTTTATATGGACAAGATAGGGTGGAAGGGAGGAAGGAAGGAGTAAATGATAAAGCGGGGATAGAGTCCAAAGAGAGAGAAGAACTGTTGAACAGATGAAGGAGTTGATAACGATCTGGCTAGGAGGGTGAATAGCTGTTAATGGAGGCTGTCAGTGGCTAACGATAAAGGTAGTGTTTGGATTCGAATCCTGTCCCAGCAGATGGTGGAATTTGAATTCAATAAGTATCTGGAATCTGGAATGACTACCGTGAATCCATTGTCAATTGTTGGAAAAACCCATCTGGTTCACTAATGTCCTTGAGGGAAGGAAACTGCCATCCTTACCTGGTCTGGCCTACACATGACTCCAGGTCTACAGCAATATGGTTGACTCTTGACTGCTCTGAGCAATAAATGCTGCCTAGCCAGCAACACCCTCATCCGGTGAACGAATTTTTAAAAATTGTAACAGGCAGGCTGTGTGATAACAAGACCTAGTGTGTGGGGTAGTGGGCTTGGACTTAGAGTTAAGACACTAATTTCTTGTCATTTTTGGGTGTTACCTGTCCTGGAGGTCCATCCTCAGCTGGTGCCCATGGGGTAATGTGATCAGATCCAGCCCTGAGCTCACTCCCATCATCATCTTCTGTTCCAAGGATACGTCGATGATCCGAGCAACCTACAAAAGCAAAACACCCTTGTTTTAAATCGAAGGAAAATACTATCTGTTCCCCTCGACAACATGAGCTCACCGTGTTTTTGATGGCATCTCCCAATTCTAATGGTATCTATTTATTCTATTAGCAACTTTAAAATAGATACTGCATTCATATTAAGGCACTGCATCCTGTGGTGCTAATTTGTAGACACCAAGAGCTATCTCACAGAATACATGGGGCCTCTAAAGATAAACTGATAGCACATGTAGGAGAGTTGGCTGCCAGGGTTTCTGCAGGATGCACTTCTCTTACACAAGTGCCAACTAATTCATAAGCTTTGGTAGAGAGTACAAGGTGGCAAGTCAGCTACGAAAGTCATAGGAGAGAGCATTATATTGGAACACCATTCTATCCCCATGAGCATACTTTGAGATCAGGGTTGTTGTGAAAGCAAACAGATAAATTTGTTTCCACCCTCCCACCCCCAGCCTAGACTAAGGATTCCAAATAAAATGTATTTACCCCAATGGACAATGAAATATTAAATATTTGAGAGAGTTCGTAGTCTGCTGTCCACAAACAGGCTGTTATAATCCAACTGGTCTATGTGGTGTTAATGCTGTACACAAACCACCTCAATCCCATCCTATCAGCACGACCTGCTTTTCTTTTTTCCCCCTTATACGTATATACAGTTTCCCCTTTAAATGTATCCACACATCTGCCACAACTTCTGATTTTTTTTATTGAAAAAGTTCAACATTCTCACCACTGTCCAGGTAAAGATGGTTTTCTTGCTGTCCTTACTGGATGTTTTCTTTCACAAATGTGGGCATCGCTGGCATGAGCAGCACTTATTGCCCATTCTTAACTGCTCTTCAGAGAACAGTTAAGAGTCAAGAATATTGCTATGGGTGTGGAGTCACATATGCGCCAGATCAGGTAAGGAAAGATTTCCTTCGTCAAAGGGCATTAAGAACCAAACTGGTTTTCACAATAATCATTAATTGTTGTCAAGGTCAACAGTACCGAGACTAACTTTCAATTGTTTAATGTTATTAATTGAATTTAAATTCCATGCCACCAGAGCACTAGCTTGGGCCTCCACAGTACCTGTCCAATGACATTGCCACTAGATCATAGGTCTGCTACAGGTTTATTAGTGATCATCTTATATTTATGATCCCATATTTTTGGTCACCTTGACCAATGGCATCATCTTGTATTCACCTAGCCTATCAAAACCTGTCATAATTTCCAAGACTCACCTCCTCAGCCTTCATTTCCAAAGAAAACAAAAATTGCAATAATAATTCAAACTCTTTCTTAAGTAATTGATTCAAAGACATAAATGAACAATGTGTCTGAAGGTTCTTGTTCAGTACCTTAACACAACAGGTTTATGAACAATCAGTTAATCACTAGTTACCTCACAGTCCACTTTCAGAATATGTTGTGCTGTAGTTTTTGCATCATTTTCACAAAATATTTCTTTGAGGCGTTTAAGCACAGATGGATCAAGAGGTTTGTTGTCAACAGGAAGTAAGATGGAAGTAAAACTATCAAGTTTAAATGAACTTGTGGTCTCAATTTGAGGCCACACGAATGACCAGTCCCCATCATCATCTTCATTATCTTCTTCATGGTGGGTCTTCATTGAAGCTGAATATGCATCCAAATCCAGAAGACCAAAATCGGTGTCTGTCCTACGGATCCGGCCCTTTAATCGCTCCATGGTTCGTAACCTCTCCATGTGAGTCTGGATCTGACCAGCCTGAGGAATATGTGGCACTAGCTCACAATAGACATTTCCATCCAAGGTTGGATCCATTACTGTGTCCAGAATCATGGCAGATGGAATTCGGAGTGGTTTTGGGGGAGCCTTGCAGTGTAACTGCCCATCAGAACCTCTCAGCACCATATTATTCTGGGAGCCAAAGTGTTTTAGGAATACTTTGGGGTTGATTAGCGGGTCACTCCCTGTCCTATACATTAGTGATGAAGGACGTACTGATTTGTATGTTCCATTTGCTTGAGTAACGTCTTTGGGTCCTGTTGCACACACAAAGACAATAAATCGAATTGTTAATAAAATAACTAAGTGATGGCCATCTCAGTTATTTGCTTCTCTCCCTTCTTTGTGGGCCCCTTGTTAAGTGGATGAATACCACGTCTCCTGTGCTGCTGTAAACTGGCCATTGGGGATATACCAGATTGTCTTGGACACAACTTACCCACATTTGTCTACTCCACAATTCCTCACATGAAATTATTTTCCTTGAATTTAGCCTTTAAAAATGCTGACTGAGAAAGGCTGCGAGGTCATTACGGAATGATGCAGTCAGCTCATCTTACTGGCACTTTGAAGAGATATCAGTCCACTGCTCTTTCCCCATGCAATTTCTTTCCCTTCCAATATTTATTGAATCAGCTTGTGAAGTTTACTATTGAACTGCTTCCACTATTCATTCTTTCTATATCACAGCAACTCACTATTTTAATAAGTGTTGATTCTTTTTGACAATCACCTTAAATCTGTGTCCTCTGTCTGCTAATCCTTCTGGTACTGGAAACAATTTCTTCTATCAAAGCCAGTTCATAATTGTGAATACCTCTATCAAATTTGCCTTTATAATCTGCACTACGTAAGGTTAGGAGGCCGTGTTTTAATCCCCTTGTTCTCATCACACTATCTGCTTTATTTAGTAGCAGTGGCCCTTTTTGGTCAGCAAGTTCTGGGTTGTAGTCTCATTGGGTGTCTTCATACAAGATTGGCTGACACTCCAGTGCAGATTGCCAGAGGTGCCACCCTTTCTTGAGATACTAAGCAGAGGTCCTGTAGGCTGTCCAGATGGAATTTATAAACGACAATGGGAAGATAACAGGTTTGACATTCATAAAAATGGCCTGAAGGGCATTTCGTCCAAACTTATGCAACTTGTTTGGAACAGGAGGAAGTCATTTGATTCCTTGAGCCTGTTCCCTACTTCTGGGCCAGGGAGCCCAGGTACAAGTCCCACCTCCTCCTGAGGTGTATCATAGCATGTCTGAACTGGTTGATTAGAAAATATCTACAAACATATTCTGTCTTTGTAATTTAACCCCCTTCATTCCAGTATAATTTGGTTCACAGTTGGGGTTCAGAACAGAAGATATGACCAATTAGAATTGTTATTCTACAGTTAAAATACGATATCTGAGGCAGGAGGAGAAGAATTCAGTTAAAAATGAGAATATACAAGAACATGCAAAAGTTCAGGTTTAAAATGACCTCACCTCCTGAAAGGTAGCTGTCAGACTGGGCAGACTGCAATGGCTTTTTGTCATTCCCATAGTCCAGAATATTTGGATGACTGCCACTCTTGTCCTTATTCCTACAATAAAAACCATCAGTAAACACAGGAGTGGTACTGTTAGTAATCCTTCAGCTGCTCCCTGTCCCATCTATGATAACATTACAGTAATATCTTAGATAATCTGTCAGGTAGAGTGCTAAACCGTATTGTAAGTTAAACAAATTCTTGCATTTATATCACATCTTCCATAACGTCATGTTCCCAAATTGCTTTACAATCAAAGTATTAATTTTGATGGAGTGCAGTCACTATCGTAAAGTAGAAAACATTGATTGTTCAAGAGCTTTACGTAGATTCTCATGGATAAATTTACCTCTTCATTTCAGCAAACTCTGCAGTAACAACAGTGGGAGTTTAGAATAGGCCATGAGTCATGAACTAGGCCGAGCATGAAATAGCCAAAATGAATGCTCTCCTCACCCAACAGCCAACATTTCAGCAGGGCTCACTGGCCTAGGAGGGACAGCGCTGGCTGATTTTTGTCTTCCTCATCCAGAAGTGCTAAGGAATACCCCACCCATGTCCCTGCTGGGATCAGCAAAATAATAACAACAGTACTTGTAAAAGACCTTTAACATGGTACAACATCCAAGGCACTTCATAGTAGTTTTACAAAGAAAAATAGGCACCAAGCCACAAAAAAAAAACATTTGAACAGGTGATCATAAGCTTGATTAAAGAGCGTCTTAAAAGAAGAAAAGAATAGTACAGAGGAGAGGAGGTAGGGAAAAATGAGTTCCAGGGCTTAATGCCTAAATTGCAGAAGTCACAGCTGCCAGTGGTGATTAATATTGTGATCTCTTTGGCTCTTCAACTCGGGTAAATTGGAAGAGACAGAGTGTAATGGGGCAAGAAGAAGTTAAAGATCTGCAGGACCGAGGCCACGAAGGGTTTTGAAAACCTAGAATAGGAATTTTAAAATCTGAGTGTAGCCGGAGTAAGAGATAATGTGGGCCAATGTGCGCAGGTCTGATAAACAAACAGAACTTTGTAATTCAGGCAGGAATGTTTTGGAAAAGCTGATGTTTATGCAGGGTGGAAGATGGGCAGCTGCCCAGGAGAGCAATGGAATAGTCACGTCCAGACATAACAATGACAAAAACCATGAATTGAATCTGTAATCTTCTTATCTGTATAACTTCTCCTAAGCCTTGCAATAAGCCAAAGCTAAGTATGAGTACTTAGCTCTGGTTGGTAGTACATGGATTAAGTACCTTAAAAGATTTCCATCCACAGTAAGCTGGTCCAAAGATACACCTTCAGACAGATTTAAGCTGAATCTTTTATTCTGATCAGGGTTTTTGGTTGTCAATTCAATCTCATGTTTTCTTTGATCTGATGCTCCTCTGTATTCTTCTTCAATGCATCTCAAGGGGACAATGCGGTTTATTGGATGAAAAATTATTGCTCCACTGTCCTCGGAAATTGGCTTGCGGTTTCCTACGTAAAACCGCACTAGTGCTGGGAGGTTATCAAAGCTCTCCTGTTCAAACTGGAAGAGCACACGGGTGTAGGACTCCTTACGCCGGAGGACCACACGAATGATCTTGAAGTGGAGAGGTTCATGCTTCCAGGTGCAGCTCAACACGTAGTCTCCAGGGCTGGAGTGAGATTCTCGAATGAGGAAGTCTCCATCTCTTTCCATTAGTGCCTCTGCTACCTAAATTATTAAGAGGAGAAAATCAGTGTCCACCTACTACACAGCAACTATTGCTAATCAATTTTTTGCCTTTTTGAACATTTATCTTTTGAGTCACAGGATTTTGGCACATTATTGGAGTGCTTGCCCATTTTAGGCATGCATTGTCAACATGAAATGATGCCTGGTCAATCCTGTGAAAGGACTAGATAGATTGCTTGCCCTGAAACAATCCAGAGGGTAGCAAAATGGGATTCCTTGCAAAACACCTGAGGGGCATTACCAGAATAACAAGATCTGAAAGTGGGTACTGTGTCACCACCTCCAATAAAACCCTAGAGTGGAACTCCCAGATGGGATCTCCAAGCAGACCTCTACTCTGATCTCCAAATTTTGACTCCGGAACGGTCTCTACTTACAATTCCTGATTACTCAAGCAGGCTATTGATGTCAACTTTACCATCTGAAGCCTCTTACAATGTCATGATGGAATTCCCTTGTCAAATATTGCTATTCGATTACACTGGCAAGCCTGGTACACCCTTTTCTATTTCTCAGGTCTTTTTCCCTTTGTCATGAAAATATCAAACACGAACTTTTGATTTTTAATCTCACTGTCCAAGTTAATAGCATGAAACAAGGGTCTTTTTCTAGGCTGCATAACTCTGACTCTGAAACTGTGCGTTCATTTATCTTTTCTTTCAACAGGACACCATCCCCTTTCAAATTTGTGCACATGTCCATGTAGATCTGCTAAAGGCTGTATACTTGAAATTGAGTCTTTGTTAATTTTCCTCAGGTGTAAGCAGGTAATGAAACTAATTTTTTTTTTTTTAAAAAAAAAACTTAAGATAACCTTGTGATTGGCTCCTTACTGCTACAGTAGAAATTAGTTAGCTACATTTTAACTTGAAAGAGGTATAGCCTTGTGTTAAAAAGAACACACAAACCTGGAAGATTTTAAAAAAGCCAATTCACCCCAACTCAAGTGGTTATAACACGTTCTTCCTTTGGCTGAATATGCCGCCTTGTTATAGCTGTGAAGTTTTTCCTCTTATAAAGTCTTCCTAATACAAGTTGTTGATTGAATAGGTTGAGGACCACAACACAGGGCTGTCCATAAAGCATCACAGAATGTACATTCTGAGACGAGACCAGGTTAATCAATGTGGAAAACTGAAATGTCACACTTGAGTTGTAACAGTGCACCTTTGGGTCTGGGATCAAGGTGGTGGAAGGAGTGACTCTATTTTTAACTCATACCTTAGCCAAAGATGGGAGGATAGGAATAAATGTTTTTCTCTGGAAAGAATTAAAAAATCCTCATTCAAATATATTTTATTTCAAATAATACTTTTCAGTTGGCAAGTTATTGAAACACTGAAGCTTTAACATGGCAGTTGACAATATGATACAGTGAAATGGCCAGAGATGTCTAACCTGCCGTGGAATAGGACCATGAAACCAAGCATGGCTGCGAAGATCATCGGTGCTCAGTTTTAATTCCTCCTCCAGCTCCTTCATCAATGGATCTTTTTCAGAACCCATTATGAGTAGATCAGTAACTGACTGAAAAGAGCAGATTAATTAGGTTAGTGTTAAGTGTTTCTAACACAACAGCCCAGCTGGCTCTGTTGTATACAGAGGTAGAGTCCCTACCCCTGAACCAGGAGGCCTGGATCAAGATCCACTTGCTCCAGAGGCACAAACTCTGAACAGATTATTTAAACAATTTGTCTAATCAATTAAAAATAGCCCAGCTGCCTGAATTTGATTTACTGTTGTCACATGTATTGCAATACAGTGGAAAAAGAAGTGCTGTTTTGCACACCATACAGGCAGATTGTACCATACAAAGTACATTAGGGTATCAGAACAGAGTGCAGAATAGTGTTACAGCAGCAGAGAGATCAGAATTAACATTTGAGAGGTCAGTTCAAAAGTCTGATAGCAATGGGGAAGTTTGTTTATAATTGAATTGTATTGAGTTGAAGGCAGCTTTGTCACAGCACTTTTTTTGCCTATGAATCAGAAATTTAAGACTGTTAAAATCCCATGCCAGAGTCTTGAGAACAAAACCTCGGCTGCACTGCCAGTGGAGGACAGGCAGAGCGCTACACTAGTAAAAAGTGCAATCATTTGGATGAGATGTTAAATCATTGTCCCAAATGCCCCTTTAATTGAATCCAAAAATCCTTGAAATTAATTGAAAAAAAAACAGGAGAGATGTCCATCCTAGTGTCCTGGCCAATATTCATGCCTCAAACAATATCACTAAAACATCTTTAAGTCTTTACTGTTCATGGACACCAACTGTGCATAAACTGGTTGTCGTGCTTTCTACTTTGTAACACCAACTCTACCTTAAGACATGCTTCATTGTTTATAATGAATTTGGGACATCCCATTGATATGAAAGGCACTATAATAATACAAGTCAGACACAGATCAGGCAGCAAGATTTAATATTTAGTCTGCATCATCCCTTTTATGGACACAATTTATACCTCAGAACCTATATACAAGACTCCAGTAAAATACCTTGTGTGTCATCAGCTTATGGGGAACCAATGACTCCTTGGAGCACAGTCCTACTAAATTATAAGTAGTAGTTAGGCACTTTCTGGTGCTTATACTCATGTCTACCATTTTATTAAAATTAATGAAGGAGAACAAGACATTGCCTTAGATTGAAACAGACAAACGTATTGGTGCAAGACTCAGCACAATTCTAATACAAATCAGAACACTCAGAGGGTGTGTTTATTCAGTATTTGTTTTAACCACCTGACTCATGTGTGACTTTGCCATTTTCTCAACTAAGTTCAGTCTCTCTCACAGAATAGTACGACATACCTCATCAGTAACACAGCAGCCTCAACTAATGTAAATCAGTCCAGATGACAGGACAATGACACAGGGAATATTTGCTTCACTGTTCTCAGTGGGAACAGTGAAACCTACACATACTACACTTCCATGGCAGTCCTTAACCAGCAGTCTCTGAACAAAACTCCCTACCACCCCAAAAACAACAACATTGCCCCTTTATAAAGGCAAGGCACAGTTGGCAAGTGGACAAACAAGTCATCTGCAACAATTCATTCACAAAAAAAATAAAATAAATGCTGACTGAAGCTTAAGCGACAACAAAAAACTACAGGATATTCAAAAATTAAGAAGCCCTTCATGCAAAATTCTCTATTACAGAACAAAATTTACATTTTCCATATGACTGCACAAGGGCCTGAACACGCTACTACTGGTTCATACAAGTTTGTCACAACCTCTCCTCCCTGTAACAGAATAAAATCTTACAGTATCTTCATCAATCACATTCCAAACATTTTTTGTATAAGGTCTTGGTTTGAAGTGCTATTCTGTGGCAAAAAGAGCTATTATTTATTTTATCAATAGCAAAACCTACCTTTTCAGCTCATTGCTCCTCTTCTGACCCATTAATCATGAGATACTACCATTTACTTTGGTGGTTTAGTTCACTGTTGCAAAGAACACCTCAACTTAGCCCAAGGGAGCTGCACCTCTAGGTGAAACTATTTGCTTGAAAGGTACAAGGGGTCTATAGAGAACTGGGCATAACAGCTAACAAACAAAGGAGGTGCCATATCAATGACATAGCCATGCCACTCCTTTTTGTGACATGATTGCATATCAAACAAAGTGATAAAATGTGTTTCTATTGAGTTTCCTGATTTTGTGAGTGGATTGACAAATACAAGCAGAGCACCCCTTCAAAATATGGAATATTCCAATGCACCACTCCACCCTTAGCACACTTGACAGCAAATCTGTGAAACTTTATTGCTCATCATTCAGGCCTATAATTGGTGAAACTATGTGATCTGTACTTCCCCTCTCTCACAGCTGTGTAATCCAGGGTTGCCAACCCGATAGTATTGGCCTGGGGTCTCCAGGAACATGAAGGGTCTAGGCCCGAAACGTCAGCCTCTCTGCTCCTATGATGCTGCTTGGCCTGCTGTGTTCATCCAGCCCTGCACCTTGTTGTCACTAATCTCCAGAATACTGCTGTGAGCAACATCCCAGGAGAAACAAAAATAGTAGGGCCATTAAACTAACAATTGTGTGCGCGTTTCATTTTCTTTGAACACTCCCCTTGTAAAAATAAGGGGGAAGCATATTTTTAAAAAGGCTGTTTCAATCCAAGATGTTTGGATCTAGGAGGTCATGTGATAAAGTCTCCAAGAGTGGACAACCCTAGGTGGAAGATGGTGCATGTTAGAATTTGTTTCATCCTCCACCCCTAGATGTTGTTCTCATCTCTCACTGCTATTTAGTTCAAAGGATGTTAGCACATAACCGCTTCTAAATGGTCAGATTTTTTAAAAATCTCGGTGTGTTGGCCAACACTTGTTGCCAATTCCTAATGTCCTGGAGAAGGTGGTTGGTGAGCTGCCTCCTTGAACCACTGCAGTCCTTGGGGTGCAAGTACATCCACATTGGGAAAGGAGTTCCAGGATTTTGATCCAGTGACAGTGAAGGACTAGCAATATAGTTCCAAATCAGGACGGTCTCTGGCTTGGAGGGTAACTTGCAGATGGTGGTGTTCCCATGCATTTGCTGCCCTTGCCCTTCTAGGCATCGAGGTCATAGGTTTCAAAGGTGGTGTTGTAGCAGTATTGTTGAGTTGCTGCAGTGCATCTCTTGGATGGTACACACTGCTGTTAATGTTTGTTACTGGTGAGGGGAGTGAATATTATGTTTAGTATAATGATAGCTGATTTTCTGCTTCAACACTACTGTACCACTCCCCCATATCCCTTTTCTCCCCCTGGGAGACCAAAAATCAATCTCAAATATATGCCAGATGGAGCTCCCACAATCCTCTAGGGTACAGAATTTCAAAGATTCTGTTTACAACCCCCTGAGTAAATAAAGTTCTCCTCAGCTTTGTCCTAAACAACTGGCCTTTATTCTGTGACCTCACATTTTAGACTCCCCAAGCAGGGGAAACAACCCCTCAGTGTTGACAACCTGTGAAGCCCCTGCAAAATCTTACATGTTTTAGTAACATCACCTCTCATTCTTCTGAACTCCAGAGAATGTTGGCCCAATTTATTCAGCCTCTAACAACAGGTCAACTCTGTCATTCCGGGAAATAAATTAATGAACCTTCCTTATACCACTGCCAAATCAAGTTACACTCTTCTTTATAAATAGAGACCAAATGCATACAGTACTCTGGATGTGACTTTATATCCATATAATTAGAGCAAAATTTCTATTTCTCGTGTCCAAATCCCCATATAATAAAGGCCAACATTTCAGTTGCCTTTCTATTTGTTGGATGTACTATATGTTAACTGTCTTATCGATTGAGAACATGCCAAGTCTCTCAACCATTTGAATCAGCACAAGCCTGTATAATCCTACAGTCAACTGACACACAATCTGATACAACACAAGATATTATATACAGGAGCAAATCAAGGACTGGAGTTTATTTTTAAAGAGATATAACTGAAAAGCCGAGAAGCTACATTAAACTACAGTAGTATAAAACCTTGGTTAGACTACCCAGGGTAATTGTGTACAGCTCTGCTCTCTACATTACTAAAAAAGATATAAAGGCATTAAGGAAAGTATACAAAATATTCCAGAACTGAGAGGTTATGTCCATCAGACCGTAAGAAATAGGAACAGGAGTAGACTGTTCAGCCCCTTGAGCCTGCTGTGCCATGCAATATGATCCTGGATCATCCAATGTTCCGCACTTTCACTTTCCCATGTTTTCCCCATAACATTGATTCCCCTACTGATTAATAATCTATCTCAGCCTTAAATATACACAAGGACTATGCCCCAGAGCTCTCTGTGGCAAGCAGTTCCAAAGACTCACAACCCTCCTCATCTCAGTCTTAAATTGGCAGCCCTTTATTCTGAGACTATGCCCTCTGGTCCTAGATTCTTCTATGAGGGGAAACATTCTCTCAGCTTCTACTTTACCAAGGCCCTTAAGAATCCGATGTTTCAATGAGATCAAAAAACATTGAACAGTCTAAGTTTCTTTTTCGCTGGAAAAGAGAAGACTGAGATTGTCCTGATAAAAATCCTTTAAACTATTGAAGATGTTTCTACTTGCAAGGGAGTTCAAAATGATGGACCATAAATATAAGGTAGTCACTAGATTCAATATGGAATTTAAGGGAAACTTCTTTACCCAGAGTGATTAGATTGCGGAATTCACTACCCTAGGGAGTAGTTGAGGTGCATTTAAGATATAAATAGGAGAGAAAGAAATAGGGTTAGATGAAGGGGTAGGGATGGCGGGGGTAGAAGTGAAAGCCAATGCGGAGCATAAATGCTGGCAAGGTCAAGTTAGGCCGAATGGATTATTTCTGGGGTGTGGAGTCTATGTAATTCTATATAACCAATACAATTTCAGGTGTTATGATCCCAACTGATGTTACTATTTGACAAGTCAGAACCCAGAATGAAATCTAGCTTGATAGATCATTTTAATGTGCTGGATTTTCACTGAATCATAATGACAGAAGGCTGCAAATTTGGTATTATCGATGAAGCAGAGGTTTATTACACAGAGGAAATAAAATGAAACAAACCAAGCTTATTATAGTTTGGTTGAAAGGTTTAACAGCATACGGCAAAACAAAATCACATCTACTTCCCAACATCATCACTTTACAGTGAATCAAAATCCAGAGAAATTCCTCACCGATCAAATCTGTTTAATTTAACTTCTTCTTCTCAGGTTCCATTCCAGCTGCCTTTTTGTTGAATATGCTCAAAACTGAGAGAATAGACTTTCTCAGCCCTGAATAATCTGCAGTGTTACAACCAAACACTACTGGTCTGGAAGTTCTCACAAACTACAACCCTTACATTGAAGTACTATGTTTCTTTAACTGCTCTGAACAATCTCCTTATTTTAGAGAGACTATACTTGCATCTGGCTTCAGTCAGGTCTCCTTCAAACTGCCCAAAAGCTTTTGAACTACATTTTATAGAGCTTGTTCATCTTAGAGTCTGCTAAGCTAATGGCTTAATGTTTTCTCTCTCAGGTGTAAACCCCCACAATATAAACAAATGTCCATTGACATATCAGAGGAAAATACTGGTTTAATATCATCGTTTCAGAGAGACTGACCTAGTTAATTTTTAAAATCCTTAACAAAAATTGGTCAATGTCCATATGCCACTAGTTTGAAATCCAGATTCTGAAAAAAGTGATAGTAATATATATGAATCACACTAGCAGAAGAGAAGCTACTTTACAATCCTTAGCATCTGGAAATCGTGGCTGAATTTTCCTCCAACAATTGACTTTGAGGTCAAACAACTCACTGTTGACCATTGATAGAACCTGCGACCCTCCTGGTAGCTAATCAACCTCTTCAGAGATTTTATTTCTTACTCCTGGAGCAGTAAGGACTTGAACCAAAGCCTCCTAGTCAAAAGGTTGGAACATTATCGCCATAAGAGCTTTGGAATGCCTGCATTACAACAGGTTCAATTAAATTCACCTGGTTGTATCACCTTAGGTTGAAGCCTTGTCAGCGCATCACAGAGCTGTACAGCATAGAAACAGACCTTTCAGTCCAATTTGTCCATGCTGATCAGATACCCTAAATAAATCTAGTCCCATTTTGCCAGCATTTGTCCCATATCCCTCTAAACCCTTCCTATTGATATACCAATCCAGATGCCTTTTAAATGTTGCAATTGTACTGGCCTCTACCAGATCCTCTGGCAGTTCATTCCATATATGTACCACACCCTCTGCATGAAAAAGTTGCCCTTAGGTCACTTTTGTATCTTTCCCCTCTCTATGCCCTTTAGCTTTGGACTCCCACACCCTAGGGGAAAAAAACCCTTGTCTATTCACCTTATCCATGCCCTTCATGATTTCATAAACCTCTGTAAGGTCACCCCTCAGCCTCCTACGCTTCAGGGAACATAGCCCCAGCCTATTCAGCTCAAACCCTCCAGCTTGGCAAAATCCTTGTAAATCTTTTCTGAATGCTTTCAAGTTTCACAACATCCCTCTTTGTTCAGTGACACTCCCCAGGACCTTACCTTAAGTGCATTAGTTCTGCCCTGATTTGCATGTCCAAAATGCAGCACCTCACATTTATCTAAATTAAACTCCATCTGCCACTCCTCGGCCCATTGGCCCATCTAATCAAGATCCCATTGTACTCTGAGGTAATCTTCTTCGTTGTCCACTACACCTCCAATTTTGATGTCATCTGTAAACTTACTAACCATATCACTATGTTCACATCCAAATCATTTATATAAATGACGAAAAGCAGTGGACCCACCACATGTCCTTGGGGAACATCACTGGTAGCAGGCCTCCAGTCAGAAAAGCAACCCTCCACTACCACCCTCCATCTTCTACCTTCGAGCCAGTTCTGTATCCAATGGCTAGTTCTCTCTGTATTCCATGTGATCTAACCTTGCTAACCACTCTACCATGAGGAACCTTGTTGAACATCTTACTGAAGTCCATGTAGATCATGTCCATCACTCTGCCCTCATCAATCCTCTTTGCTACTTCTTCAAAAAACTCAATCAAGTTAGTGACATA